CGGCCGATCGTCGCATAAAACTGAGAAACGATAATCCTCATCGAGATACATCAAATGGCTTTTAAATTTCTGAAATCGGTTTAGGCGTTTTTGAGCAAACGTCGATGAAAGGTCTAATTTTGACAAATGCCAAAAAACGATACTTATTTTGCAAACTTTGACGAATTTTTAAAGTATATTTAAATTTTAATATATTTAATGTAAAATATTAAAGTTAAACTTTTTAAAGAGTTGTCGTAGAGCCGTAATATTTCAGTATGATCTATAAGACCATGGTATCTACCGTCAAAAAAATAATAATAAAAATCGCCGAATTTTTTTTTAACACTTTATTACAAGAAAATGGTCCGGCCAATCTTTACCAAAAACTAATCAGCAACATTTCCTACCAATATCTTTTGAACATTTTGAATTTTCTAAATCGATTCACAATTGCGGGCAAAATCGTGGACAATTTTTTTTCACTTTTCTGCGATTTACAAAGAAACGGTTTGGCCGATTGTTGCGCAAAACTGACAAACGATAGTCCTCATCGAGATACATCGAATGGCTTTTATATTTTTGAAATCGGTCCAGCCATTTTTGGGAAAACGTCGATTTACGGCAAAAAATCTGTTCACATACATACAAACACACACACAGACACACATTCTGTCTGGTCTCATTCGATTCAGAATGGCTTGAAACGTCGAGAAAACATAAAATTAGCGAATCGATTTTTTTGATGAAAAAGTTAATAATACAGAGATAAAATTAACTTTATTCGCTTTACTGTATGGTTATTTTTTTAGTGATTATTATATTATATGCTTTTTGTATAATGTGCATATATTTTTAATACTACATCTTTCCACACATTGTAGGTATCGCAAACCAACAATGGAGTCCCTTCAAACTCCTGAATACTTAGCTCTGCTTCAAGAACGGGAAGTTCTTTTAGGAAGTGGACAATACCATGATGATCTAGATGACATTAGCGTTCACAGAGGCTTGGAAGATCATAGGCCTGCTGTTGATTTAACAGCTTCTGGTGTCAGAAACAATTCCAGTGCGGCTTTGACTAGGTATAATAGACTATGCTAATATGCTGCTTGCTGCACATGCTAACCTTTTCAGTGTTATATTTGGGATATTCATGACCTAACTATATTCATAAATGTTGCATGATTCTACAGAGTTGTGTTATAAAATGAAGGACAAGACAATTTTAAGTTTTTCTGCACCTTTCAAAAAGTTTGTGTTCAAAGAAAGATCATTGTAGTAAAATGAGAGTTATTTCAAAGTTATATTGTTATAATTGTAGTACATGAATATGTAAGAAATTATCCATGACTTCTTTATATGACAAATGCATGGGCTCGCAATTAAAGAAAATATTTTTTTAAAATAACATTTAAAAATCATATTTTAATTTTTTATCTTCTCGCATTATTTGCACCAAATAATGAAGTATTCATTTTGGATCAGAGATAGTAGTACTCAAAATAGAACAATAAATTAGCTTTGTCTTGATAACTGTTCTATCTTTGGATTATATAATAGTGTGAAAGTTATATTATGTACTAATATTTAATATATACTGCTTGAAATTTTAAAATAATTACTTAATCTACAGTCACAAAAAGACTTGTATATGAAAGTATATATATATATATATATATATATATATATGCAGTAGAACCTCGATTAACCAGGCTAATTGTTGTCGATAGGCATTCAGATAATCGAATATCTGGATAATCGAATGTATAAAGAATAATGTTGTGAATTTATTAAAAATAAAAAATACTTACATAGATATGTTTGTATTTATGTGCATATATATTTTCCTAGATTACATTACATACATATACTAAATTGCAGCAATGATTGTGCAAAAATTCGAATTGTAGGTATATTTGTCCCGGTTAGTAGTCCAGATAATCGCGAATCCGTATAACTGAGGTTCTACTGTAGTATATTTTGTAAACCATTGTGCAATATGTGATATTAATATATTAAAACTCATTAATGCTGCTTTATTTCACCAGCAACTAATAATATTGCAACTAACACTTATATTATTGTGCGATTTTTAAATGATGTTTTAAAAATTGTTTTTGTGGAGCTTACTTTTTACTGAAAAAATTATTGTTATTGTTTACATTCTGCTTTATTTTTATTTCATAATAACATATCAGTAACCTTAAACATTCTTACAAAAAGACAATTTGCTGTAGAGATCTAGTGAGGTATCAGAACAAAAATGTGAAGAGAATTTATTTCAAAACGAATCAAATTGCTCCACTGCAAACTTAGTCGGATCAATTATTTTATGCATGAATCGAACAAGATAAACTGTCTATTATAATAATTGTAAATAAAGACACAATATATGTTGTTAATTATAACATGTAAAACAAAAAAATATATATTTTGTTACTAATTCTTTAAAAAAATATATTATATTGTTTGTTATTATAGCATATTTGTTTATATATATAAGGAAATATGGTAACTCTGCACTTAAAACCACTTTGATTATTAATAGAAATTGTAGTTCAATAGTTTAGGAGTTGAGTTATTCACCTCACTCCTCTCAATGCATTCACTTATTTATATCTCGCTCTAAATCATTGTCACAAAAACTAAGATTAGTGCTTTGTTAATTACTAATTATTTTTATTCATATGCTTCATATTAGACTTATATTTATACATTTATGGACACAGGATGAAACTCATCACAGTAAACAATTTACACTAATAAAAAACTAACTATTGGTGTATGGCATTGTGCCTTAAGGCAAATTGCTGGAACTTCTCGTACCGTAACGAAATGTTTGAGAAATCTTAAATGTTTTCAAATAGATTATTATAAATATTGTAACATTGTCTAATATTTATAGGAATTATATAAACTGAATTGCAAAGTTGAAATTATTTGTTTAAAGTATATTAGAGCATTAGTCAGAATTAATATTAAAATCAGTTTTTTTTTATATACAAAAAAAATTATGTGAAAAAGCAATTATTTTGTTATAACAAGCAGAAAGTTTTTTGAATCATTCAAATCGGACGCTTAGTTCTCTCAAAAACTGCCATTTTTTGCACATTTTGCTTCGGTATCTCTGAAACGACTGGACCTGCCTTCGCCAAAAACTAATCATCACTTATCCTCGTCATTATACATTGAATGATTTTTGGATCATTCAAATCGGATGCTCCGTTTTCCCAAAAACTCAATTTCTATTTTCTGCACTCTTTGCTTCGTATCTCTGTAACGGATGGACCTGCCTCTTCCAAAAATTAGTCAGCACAACTCCCTATCAATAGGAATTGAATGCTTTTTGAACAATTCAAACCGGTTGATCCGTGCCCGATAACGTGACTGGAAATTTGTATCCATACATACATACACACACACACATCCATTTTTTCTGAGGTATGCCAAAATGTTCAGAAACCTTCAAAACGTCGAGAAATGCAAAAATTTTCATTTTCGATTTTCGGCCCATTACTGTAACTACCATATGGAAAGTTAAAAATATGTGGACAATAATTACAAAAAATAATTAATAATGTTTGAATAATGATTTTGTCATGATTTTGTAATGTTTCGAGTTCGAATTTGGAATCAAGAGCTTGCGAAGTTTCTGAGAAATAAGCAGTAAAATTTTAAGAACCCAATTACTTAATAATTGGGTTGATAATATATAATCTAAACTGAATTTACATATTCTCAATATAAAATTAGGTTTTGATAATTCAAATATAAGAATTGTCCGAGATTCATATACAGAGGAAAATTCAAACAAAGTGCCGTTGTCAGTTAGAGAATAGTCTCTTCATTTTATAAATTTTTCAAAATGTAATAACAACTTTGAGTTTTATCATTATTGAGCAAAAAATTATTAGAGTTAAGCAGGTTAGAGATTGAGGCATAACTAAATTTTATTAACTTTCCGTAGGGTAAGGTACAGTAATCGCATAAAATCAAAATTGAAAATGTTTATATATCTTTCGTTTTAAAGGTTTTTGAACATTTTAGCATACCTAAGAAAAAATTGATGTGTGTGTGTGTATGTGTGTGCGGATACAAATTTTCGTCGACGATTTCGGGAACACCGATCAACCAATTTGAATAATTCAAAAAACAATCGATTTGTGCTAGTAAGGAGACGTGCTGATTAGTTTTTGGCGAAAGCAGGTCTAGCCGTTTCAAAGATACGGAGCAAAAAGTGACAAAAACGGTAACTCAGTTTTTAAGAGAACGGAGCGTCCGATTTTAATAATTCAAAAATCATTTTACTTGTATTAACAAGATGAAGATTTGATTAAATTTTTGGGGAAGCTGGTCCAGCGGTTATAGATTCTCAATAAAAATAAGTTGAAAAAATGTCATTTGGCGGTCAAAATAGTTTATGAACATGTGTACATCAAATTATCAGATATTTTATAGAGATTTTAATAATGTGTACACATTTTGTGTAATTGTTTTGGGTTCCGTACCGTAATTGCGATACAAGAAGTTCCAGCAATTTGCCTCAAGAACGATGCCATGCACCCCACTAGTTTGTTATTTACTTGGTTAAATGAGTTTTTAATTTTTCTATCAAAAGTATTTAAAGTAATTGAAATTAATTTTATGAAGCATATGAATATAAAACATGTCGACTGGTGAAGTCTTCAAAATTATTAATAATAAACCTAACATTGTGAACAAGTAACCTGCACTTTATTAACATGGGAAAATGTCATAGGAGTAAAATTCTCAATTCACTTTGACTAAATATATCAGTGACCCTAAACATATTTGGGTTCTGAAATATCAGCATTTTGCTCAAATTGGAACTAATATAAGATGTAATTAGAAGCACATGCATAACTAACATTTAGCATGTCAATATTATTTTGCTATCGAGCTGCATGAGGTAATTTCATTTGTTTTAACTATATTGAAATACTTGATCAAAATTAAATAGAAAGATTTTTTTGTTAACCTATGTTTAATTATTGTAGGTTGTTCAATAGAAATAGTTTATCAGAAGTTAAAGGGAGACTCTTGGGAGATGACTATGACGATGACATTAAAGTGGAATTTACAATGAATAAAAAAACTCTAAAAAATGACATGACTGAAATGAAGCCAATATAGATTTATAAAAGCAAAGAGGATCGAGAGGCATCACAGTTTTATTTTACTCTTAACACACATCAATATGTAATTGATATTTTATTAAAAAAATTAAAAAATGTATTTATTAAATATAAGTTTTAAATAAGAAATAATTATTTTTCTAGCATTTACTGGAGTACTTATATATACATTATAGTTACTCAAAATTTATGTGCATTGAAGTGTAGATTTTGATACTGCTATAATAAATGATTTAAAAGTTTAATAAAATTCCAATGATTATTTACAGATTGCTTTTATTATTATCAGTTATTTTAAATAAAAATAATTTCATTCTAAAGATGATACTTATCTTCATTTACATAAAGATGAGTATCATGATTTATAATAATTTGTTTCCTAATAAAATAATTTAAGTTGTTTTCTTCCCAACAGATAAAAATCCAGATGTATTTGAGAAATATTTAGCATTAGCTTCATTAACTTTTCTCTCAGCAGCATTTGGGTTTACGATTTCCAAACCTTGCAAAGGTGTAAATGCAACACTGGATGCAGTACCGCTGACTTGTTTTTTAACACTGGTAGCTCCACCCCACTGTTGCTGCTTCTGTAAATTTCTCTGTAACGTTTTGCTGATTCTAACTTTTGTCTTTTCATCCACTTGTGGTAAGCGAATTCTGCCAGTGCTTGCTTTACCAATGGTACCTCTCGTATATCCCAAATCTTCTTGATAAGCTTCATCTTCAATATCAGCAAAGTTAAGTCGATTCGCATGTTTTCTGAACTCGGTCATTGCATATCGTTCCTTCATTTTACGCACACGTTTACCACCTCTTTTTTTCCTCCCACCTTCAATGGGTTTGGGGAGAGGTTTTGCAAATTTAACAGGAGGAGGTTCTTGCAATTTGTCGATTTTTTTTTCAATATCTTCACGAAATTGTTTACCTATAGTGCCATCAGGACTTGCATGGGCTGCATCTACTCTAGCAGCTAATGTTGTTTTTGTACTAACAATTCTAGCCACTTTTCGCCTCAAATCAGGATTAGCTTCTTGAACTACTTCCGAGTAATAGATAAATCCTGTATGAGGTAACATAGTGGTATGTGAAAATCCTGACAAAATTTTCTTTTGGGCTCCTAAAACTAAAACATTGCATGCAGGCATTTTAGATAATCTGGTCAAACCACCTGCTACACCCATTATCTTGGCGGCAGTTGATGCTCCTACTATAGCGCTTAAATTTGGAGCTATGAAAGCCATACGACTTTCCACATATTCATAAATCTTATTTTTAAATGTATTTAATTCTAGTGCCATATCACAAGCTTCATTCATTTTATTCAAATTTTCTTCTGACAATGCTGTACCTTGCGTTGTGGAAGCTGTTACAGAAACAACCATAATAGTTGCTTGTGTCAAGAATTGTTGAAGTATCTCATTGTTTTTTGTTTTATCTAAGTCATTCCCAAGTTCCTTTACGCACTGCACATATTCTAATGGAGCTACAACTAGTGATTCCAATTCAGGAAACCGTTGTTGATATTTGTCTCGAACAAAGCAATGTATAGTGTTTATTTCTGTATCAATTTCAGCAGCAACATTATTTGCTTCAACTATTAATTGATATTCTGGATCTGATTCTACAGTCCCAATAATTTCATCACTACTTCTAGGTTTTAAAATAAACTGTTGCACTTGAGACATAATTCTTGATAATTTCTCAGAATCTCTCAATTTAGCAATTTCTCTTATAGATTTTACTTTCACATCAATTTCCATAGTCAAATTTGAGAAGGTTTCTTCCTGAATAGGATTTTCTACGGTTTTTTCGGATTCCTCCTCACCTCCGGAATCCACATCTTCTAAATCTGCTAAAAGTTCATCAGCCAAAGACATTGTGAATTATTCAATAACAAACAATTAATAGAACTATTAGATTATTTGTAAATAGAATACAACTTCTATTTAAATCAAACCGTTGAGTCGATGTTGAATGGGCGAACAATTAAAATTTTATAACAATTACACTCCACTAAATTCATTAATTTATAAGTTCAATTTTATTTCCTAAGTTAGAGCAGGAATATAAAGAAAATAACAAAATTTTTACTTCAAATATTTGGTTATGTATATAGAGAAATGCTAGAACTTGTCACACGTGGCTGTAGACAGTAGCGATGACGTTTGTGAACTCGCTCATTGTGCGGCAGCCATTAAAATTTTTAAGAACGTAGGTGTACCAACAAAGATAAACATAAATTTAAACAGTAAGATGTAAAAATTATGCAGCTGTTAAAATATTCATTATTTTCATTATTGAAATGTGTTGATATATATATATACAATTATATATAATAATCTAATATTCTTTAGTTCTAATTATGAATTGTTTAATTTTATTTATATAATAAAACTTTTGAGTTATTTTGGACAGTGTTTTTTCACAGAAGAAAATCTATTTTCTAAAAACATTAGTAATGATATTTAGAATTTATTTTCTATCACTGATAATATAAGGACATAACTTGAATTTTTTTTTTTTTTGTAGTTCTCTTATTTTGTGATAAGTATCATCCCTTAATTGTTAATTAACCATTAATTAATTTTTATATGCATATAACTTATATTTTTTCTTCCTTATCATAGCTGATTTTAATATAAAATATGTTATCATATTTAATTATAATTATGTACAAAGTTAATTATAATTATATACAAAGTTAATTATAATTATAAGCATCACATCAATTTTATACAGACGTTACATGGTACTTTATTATCAGATATTTAGCGATAAATATAATTTTAATTAAACACTTCAAATAATTTTAATATTATTTACTCATGCAATTATAAATATGAAATTAAAATAATAAAAAAAAATAATAATATGCGGGAATCGAACCTCCAACAACAGACCCAAAAAATCAGAATTCTATCACCTTACCACTCGGCTACGACCCATACTATGTATAATGTCTATACCCATGATTCATAAAATTTCAAAATGTTCGACAGACTTGAATATTTACACACCTAACTTCATAGCGTTTTTACACACAAATACATGCGCAGCCGCATAATGAGCGCCTGTCATCGCTACTGTCTGTTGATACTCCTGAACTTGTCTAGGTCGCAAATGCCGGCAACTGTCAAAACATTTTGGGATACGAGACTCAGCGTTGTGTTTGTGTGACAAATCAATACCAATATTAAAAAAAAAAGAGTGCGCGTATCATAGATAAGTAAACATAGGCGCGTATGGTCACACGCGATTGAAGTAAAACTTGTTTGCTACTGTAAATACACCCATTTATGCTTACTTATCTATGAATACATCACATCATATAACAATTTTGAATATTGTTTATTAGTAATATGGTAACACTCGTGATGCACATATTTATTATGCATTTATTAGTGTCAGCAATTATACACAATTTATATAATGATAAATTATAAATTATATATTTATAATAGCATTAAAAATATGTATAATATTTAAAAACAATAATTTAATTAAAGTCATACTTCAAATATGACATGATCGGTTTGTCATTGTAATTAGCATTTAGAAATGAACCTTTATTAGAGAAATGAAGTAATTGCTGATTAATAAATTCTATAATATTCATTCACACAGTGGATTATGTTAAACAACGCCTAAACAAATAATGTTTTCGAAACTTCACTCATCATTAATTGTGTTTGAAGAACTCCATGTAATTAAAATTAACATACATTCATTGACTGCTTGTATTTTTATTACTTTTTTGCTGACGACTAAAAAATATTTTCCATTTTAATAACTTCAAAGATTTATAGAAACTACGAATAATATAGAAATAATTTCTAATCAATAAACTTACGTTTAGTATACGGCACAAATGTTTAAATTATTTTATTATTTTCAAGGAACAGGGTAAAATATTCTTCTGATTCAGGCATTTTTCTTCAATTTTAATTAATTATTTTACTTTAAAATGTTTATTTATCTATGCCGCACGCATACAACGTTGATGCCGGTACGCCCGGTACGCATACAACGACAGAAGTCTATTCACATACACGACGACTTATCACAATCGACCCGTATAGAAATGATCTCATCGAGAGCGAATGACGAACAGTTCAGGCGTAACGGACTTCCGTTGCATTTGTACAGATTTACACCCTAGTCACGTCTAAAGAAGTTTTACTTCAAAAAATGTCACGCCAGTGGTGCATTGCAACATAGATAAAATAAGAGTATAAACATAAAGATGTAGCTATGATGTCTGGCGATTTACCGCATGTTTCTTAAAGTAACTTGCTGCAACTTCTTAAACTGATTTTATACTCATCTTTTAAATGAGCGAAGACCCATTCGCCCTTTTTCTTTCCATAGAACGCATGTCAATTAGCACATCTCTCTAATCTGTCTATGGCATTCCAGGCAGCTTCAGTTGTTAGTATCACTTCTATAACAGTATCTGGAGTAATTCTTTGCTTCAATATCTCTACTACGTCTTTATCTATGACTACGTCATCCCGTACCGCGGGTACACAAAGAACACGTGCTTGGCATCTTAGATTTCGCCCAAACAATATAGGCAATCCGTCGAGCTATCGTTTTTGAAGCGGTGTAGGTAGGCTCATACTCTTCTTTTATCTATGGGTGTAGGTAGGCTCAAAAACAGCCATGCCCAGATAGCATTTGCGTAGTATAATAATTAACTTTCCCATTTTGCGATTTAGCCAGACTTTGATGTTTGGAATGAGACGATGCGTCCATCTGCCCTTCACTGCTGTTATGTCGGTCTTCTATTCTCAACTTTTCAGGACTCAGTTGTTGATGTCTTTGTTGCTAAATTGTCCATCTTTTCTCTGCTAAAACTAAGAGAGACAGAATTCCTAAAATGATGCACACTGCTTCCTCCGATATTGCGCGAAATGCGCAACAACTCTTAAAGCTCTTAGATGATATATAGGTCCTGTCATTTACCGCGATTTTTGAGTTTTGAAAGCATCAGCACATATAGAGATACCATATGTAAGCACCGAAGTAACAACTGATGATAGTAATATCC